GGTCAATCAACTTCCGTTGGTTTTTCTCACCAAAACCTGGCATTAATTAATATATTCAGTTACAGTTATTTTGTGAAAAACAAAAAAAGAAAAGATTGTGCATCTTCAGGGAGCTCCAAGCTTAAACTGCAGTGGCGTTGTTTTATCTTCGAAGTTTGCTGGATTTCATAATCTGTGTGTTCTTTTAACTACGTCCTACATTTCTTCAAGAAACATTTGACAGGCTATATCAAACACTCGACCTGGTGTTTTCATCCCACAACTGGACACCTCAAAGACTATCTAAAAAACCGGCCTACCATGCCGCCTTTTAAAAATCTACTTCTCCAGTGAATGGGTATCAGAGTCTCGAGTTGGAAACATGAAATGAAAAGAGGCAGTACAGTAATGCGCGCTTAATGTTTTTTTTTTTATTATTATTATTGTTTTGGTGACATTACCACCTTTCCTACTAAAAAGTATCAGTGTTGCAGCGAATGACAACCCGCTACATCAGTTTAATTCAGGTGACAACTTGAAGGAGACAGCAGAACCGTTTAATGTAAGTTGCATTTTGTAAATGGACCTGATGACCTCTTTTACCTTGAACACAAGTATAGTTATAACAGTTATCGCAGGACACATCGTTCCAAGTGTAGCCATCATTGGCACCCAGAGTGTGAACACAGTCTTCGTTTTTCCAGTTGTTTGGTTGTTGCGGAGCCCAGAACCGAAAACTGGTTATTTCCTTGTTTGTCCAGACAAATGATCCCTCAACGCTTCGGTCATTAAGTCCAATCCATGATCGCTCTCCATTATGACGGTGCTGAATGTAGACATTTTCTTCTTGGTTGTGCACTGTTACCAGATGTGAGTTCATAGTTGAACAGTTGGACACAGCAGTCACCCAAGGTGCGCATACAGAGCTTGTTAAATAGCAGTATCCATTGAAGTAATCCCATCCAGATGGACAGATGTCTGTGCGTATACAAAGTAGGAATTAATGAACTGCAAAATGACATTGCTCAAAATGTATAGCTTGAGGTGCAGTTATGTACTTCGAACATATTTGTTATTTCCGGTTTTTGCGATTAAAAAAGGAAATGGAAAAGCAGAAGCTTTGTGTTCAGGACAAAATAAAGGCAATACATAAGAGAAAAACAACTGCAAGTATTATAAAGCACTCCATTATACACATTAATATGTATTTGGAAAAGGGGATGAACGTTGTTTTTCATCATCACCCGAATGCATTTTTTTTATTTCCTCCAGTTTTTGTGCATTCCTTTTGTGTATTGCTTGTTTTCCTTTTTCGTTATTCACAGAGTTGGTAAGTACTGAAGTTTATGATTAGTTTTGTAGCAGTAGTACCTGACAAAACTGTGTACGTTACTGACAATGGGTCATATTTTGCTTCATATAATTCTTTGACACAAGCACGAAAGCATGTCTTGTTGATGTACTGCAAGAAAGGGATGTTTATCAGCTCATTAAGTAGTTCACACAGACGGCTGACGGCGTATTTTCTCCCTTGCTAGTAGAAAAAAAACTATAGAACAGTTCAGGTAGGTCTTGACCAGAAGACTTTCCATATTTCTCAGTCTGACGCATGTTAAGAAGTGATCAACCCTGTTCAACAAGTTTGCATGACAGGGCTTCAAAGGAAAGAGGAAAGAGAACAATTGAGTGCGCGTTATTACATGTCAACAACTTAAACCTCTCATGCCATAATTGGTCAACTGCTGTCAAATGTTTGGAGGCGAAATATGTCGCGTTTACGGGAAAGTAGACCGCGCGGGTCACGGAAACAGCATATAAAAATAACCTTCATCGCACGCGTGCGAACTTTCAATAGATTTCAAATAATCATCATGGGGCACAGGGATTCGCTCTCTTAGCTCATTCTCTCTTGCGTAACATCAATTTTAGTTTTCTCATTGCTGTTTGTTTGACAACATTTGCTTACCTTCTGCTATACAGCTACACAGCTTTTTTAAAACACAGTTTTAACGACTTTCCATAATTCATGGCCATTTTAATAGCCAAGGGTTATTCCTGATCGTTAGTTAAACGGATAAAATTTAACTTTTGAGCTGTTTTTTGGCGCGTTTTGTGTTCTATAAGCTGTTATTCTCAATAGAACGCTGTCTGTATTGTTAAATAGAGAGTGTTAATTACAGTCATTCGTATTTTCATAAGGTTTTTAAACATGCACACAACACATGTAAGTGTGGTTGCAAGTGGTAATTTACACAAATTCATAAAATAAATGAAACGAAAATAATTAAATAAATAACTAAAAACATACCTCTACCCACTCAGCTATGCTGTTATGAATTGGACTCTGACTTCCATTTTTGGTGGAATGATTGGCAGAAACAAACACATGTGGAGTTGAGTTATAAACTTTAGTAAAAGTAGCGTCCTGTCAAAAGAAATTACATAATTGTAAAAATTAGTCTCTATATAAAGGTAAAGACTTGTTCCGCATTAGAGCATTTATAATCTATATTTCATTTTCATTTTAAATATTCACTGAAGTATGACAGACAGCCTGCTAAACTGACTAAATGTAACTACCATCACTAGAAACATGATAGGGCAACCGTTTTTTTTTGCTCTCTGATAGTAAATTTAATCAATAAAATTAAGTGCACTGTGACGGGAATTGAAACCTTTAAGACTAATGAAAGGACTGGAATACTGACCTTGCAGAAGGCATTATAGTGACTCTGCGCGGGAGGTTTATCATTGGAAAAGTAAATCGAATTGCGTTCTGAGAAGGGAGGCTCGTCAAGATATGAAAACGCTAACCAATTCTGAAATAAAGTAAATAAATAAATAAGAATAGAAAGAAAGAATTCTTTTTCAGTCTCACGTCCTAACTACAGCTGTAACTACCAAAAGATTGTGTCAACGTCGAAAATAAAATATAAATGGTAATCTCTCAACAAGGTTTATATAAAACAGCCACCGACATCTTAGGTTACAAGAAAGCAATAACATGGTCAGGTTCACAAAGCCGGATGAAGAGAAAACAGATGGAGGAAAATATATTTTCAAGCAAAAAATCGTGCATCTCTGCTGGACCAACTGCTGGAAGCGTAAAAAAGCGAAAAGATGAGATGGAGAAAGATACCAGTCTGCTGCACTTAGTTTCCAAAGAAAAACGCTGTTCGTTCGACTCCATGAGACTAGCGTTACTTACAACAACAACGTCTTGGTGTGATCCAGCGTAGTTTTGCAATTCTCTCAAGCAAACTTTGCAGGATGATTGTGTGACGTCTTCAATCCATATGCTTGCTGCGTCACGTTTTAATCCTGGATTGTAATGCTTGGCAGTCACAAATACCGACGGTATCACAGAGAATTTTCCCTGAAGAATAAATGCGAGTTAGGCAACTCTCAACTCTTAGAAAGCTACGAACAGGAATTAATTTCGTATTTTTGCAAAAAGGAACCCATGACATTTGTGATATGCTGGAAATTGGTAAAAGAATAATTTGTACTACCGTGACATTGTTCGACTATTAATTGGTAATAAGTGTACGGCTGCACCATTACGACAAATCACTGCTGATGCATACTGAAAACGATCTGTTATTAACTGAGTGAACTCAGTAGAAGTGAGGCGTTTCAAAAGATATGATCTTGAAAAGAATGGAAAGGACAAGAAAGCCCAACAAAGGCCACTCACTGTAGGAAACCTGACAGTCGCACAAGTCGTACCAGTCCACCACTGTGACATGCGCACTTTACCAGTCACGCCACCCACTGGAGCACCTTGGTACGCCATCCAATCAACTGTCACGTTAGCATACGACTTTCGTTCGTTATATCCTGCCGCCATCACACAAGCAGTGAATCCGTCATTATTCACATTTTTAACCCACGATACTGCCGCGTCATGGACATACGATTTGTCACTGGTATCCATATGATTGACAGTTATCTGCACTTGAATGGGTTTGTCAGGGTAAAACACAAACGGTTTGAAATGAATGGCATGACAGTGAGAGTAGCCCAAGGATGGAATATGTGGCATGTGGCGACGACCACGCTGAAAAGGAAATCCTAGAAAACACATTTCAAGATGAACTATAGATTAGTATGACAAGCATGCGGAGCAAAGGGCATTTACCCAGAACTTAAAGCAAATGAGCGGTTCTAATAAAGAGGGTTGTTACTCTCTACTATAGAAGTCCAGAGAAACTTCACACCGGACAATGTATCGCTTGTCACTGCATTAGGTCAATAGCATGGCAAGCAGTGGAGAGATTAGAACTTGCATCCTGAGCAGAGCTACACGGTGGCAAATGGTCAAGCCTATTAGCGCTAAAGGAAAGGAAAGTGAACATTCACTGTAACTACTACTTCTCGCAAAGAAAAGATTCAGTTCCAGTTATGCTTAAAAAATATAACTCTAGGAAAGGACGTTATCCAGATATGTTAGGCAGAGATACGTCCGGGTACGAAATGCAAACAATTACTGCTACTACTACTACTACTATTATTACTACTACTACTACTATTACTACTACTACCACTACTACTACTATACTACTAATCTCAGAGAGAAGAATCAGTTTTAAATTTCTTTCAGTGATACATATTTAAAAAAAACAAATATTTTCGTTGAGTATTAACTGAAAATGCTTAAATATAAGTGTATCCGCCACTTTTTCTGACCAGTATTCTTATTAGCATTGCCCCTGTCAAACGTTTTAGCAAAATTACGTAAAATTTTGTACTTCCATAAAGTCATGCATCTATCGCCGTTTTTCCCTCCAGATTACATGGGTAAGTAAATTACTCATTCGAAAAATTCACTGAGGGATTAATACTGAAATCTAATAAAAAGAAAAATCACAGATCCAAAAACAACTGTACTAACCTTCACAGCTACCAGGATGTTGCACGGTTAAGTTTAGTCGATGTAGACAAACTTCTCTTTCAAACAAACATCTGTTGTCGTACGTTGTGCCATTTGATGAGCAAACGGGTTCTTTGTAAGATGGGCAGCTATCCACACATACACAGCGTGCATCATGGGGTCCAAACGCCTTACAGAAGCTGTGATAATAACACGTAACGTCTATGCAGGGATCCAAGTCTGAAGATAATTAAGCAAATAACAACAGATGGATTTAAAGCGCCCATAACTTAAAAAGTTATTTTTTTAGAGTTGAAAATGCACATTACTATGAGAACGTGCGAGAAAAAAAAATTACTTTGAACACAATGTTATTAAAGAGAATTTTTTGACACGTTCAAATTTACCGCCACTTTGGCACACCATTCGTGCAAGTCTTCACTCGGATGCCTCCCGGAAACAAAGGGGCTCTAACGTATATTAAGAAACTGTAACGTAAATTAAGGAACACGTGACTTTAGATACAAGAAAAAAAGTATAGATTCTACAAAACTTTCGTCAAATTTACAAGCTGAAACTGCTTTAAGATACCAATAAGATGCATTGCAGGTAGATGCAACAACACTGCGACTCTAAGAAAAGGATAAGAATGCATATGATCCCGTTTTTCAGCTCAGTCAACCAAATCTACAATCCCCAGAAATAGAGACAACAAAAAAATAGCATCAATTAGAGAAAAAAAGCTCTGCATGAAACAACTTCAAAAGATTCATGTCATAAAATGTACTTGATACACTGCAGCATACAGCCTTCACCAAGGTTTTGATATATTGTTTACGTACCTCCAATCACCAGGTAATCCAGTTGTACGATGTCCTTATAATTGGCGTTATTGCTGTATCTTCTCATACACACCTCGGTTTCGTTTCTAAAGGTATGCTAGACACAATCATTAGAAGTATCAGATTATCAGTCATTAAGCATCATCAGGTATTTTCTTACCTTAACTACTATGTCACTAGGTACACCAAGGTCGTTCAGAAAGCGAAACCGTGGCGTGCACAGGTTGGTTGGAAAAACTGGGAAAAAATGAAACAAAAAAAAACTTTTTTGGACTCCTTAAACGACATGAAAAATTGAAACAGAGACAATTCTAAAAGTAAGTTCGACAGGAAAAGATAAGAAGGCAGCCTAAGGACGCAATGGACTAAGAAAAATGGCTCCAAGTTTCATATTTGTTACCTGAATCCACGCAGTAACTGCGTTACAAGTTGCGGAAGCCGAGAAACGAGAGTTGTTATGGTAACTGAGTCTTGGTGAAACCATTACTACCGGAGGGGCATAAAAAGCATCAGTGAACTTTATTATCTAAAAAAACAAGAAAAAAATCATCGTCATTAAGTGTTTCTACACACATGCGGTATATGATATATGTTGATTAAATAGTTGACGATAACAACATTACAGCTCGATGAACGTATGAAAGATTTTCTATTTATGAATATAAGTGACTGAGAAACCAAAACAGTATTGTTGATTAGTTACTTTACCTGACAGAGAACGTTGTTTTGTTGCTTGTTTAGTGGTGAGTTATTCTTTGTTGTTACAAGGCCATGGATCAAGGTAAAATTCAGCGTCATCAGCTTAACAAATGCTATCCAGTCCTGAAGGACAAGTGAAAAAGTATTAACAATGTTATCAATATATTCTTTCTCAAGTCAAGGTTGTTTCTAAGAGAAGTTAGCCCATTGCTGTGAACCTGTGTAAATCACAGGGTACCCAACATAGGATCTCTATGAAAAAAAGCTACGATTTCTAATTCCTAGTAGGCAAAGAGCAAAGGTAGAGCTCAGGGGCAACTGGGTTCTGCTAAAGCACAGCCCCTGTAAGTTGCAGCAAGGGAGGAACCGCTTGGTTGTCGTGTAAGTCTACTTTCAAACATGTAACAGGTAACAAAAGGAATTCACTTACCACCTTGATGTTTTTATGCAGACCATCAAAAATCTTAGTTTCCCTGAGGCAAACCTTAAAACTGTCTCTGCGTACATCCTCTACCCACAATGCCAAGGCGTCCTGAGGTCTCTTGAGAATTTGGTGACGAGCTGTTACGTAGATGCTCGGAGGAATTGAGAAACGCTGAAAAAGTAAAAGAGAAGAAAATAAATAATCAATTACATTTCTTTTTCAAACAAACAAGGGTATGATATAAAACGATGGAAGTGTGATAGAAAAATCATTTTCAACTTGAAAGAAGCAAATTGGATGGAATTTCCTAGTGCAGATGAAAAACTAAGAACAGTTTTACGAATTAAACACAGAATTTGTAAATCAGCAAATAAAACGATAATCATGAACTTGGCAACGTAGACACAAAAGCAATCGAAATATAGACTTTCTCTCTAAATTTTTTAGAGCAAAAGTTAGCAAAAGTATGAAGATTGTTAAACCTTTTAAAGATGTATTAATTTAAATAAAAAAATTGACATGATCAAGAAAAGTGGAGGACAGATTGCAAGATAACTTTGATGGAAGAAAATAGAGGTAGCAATATATGTAAGATCTTGGTAAACAAATAAAGAATCGTATTTTATAATGCAACAATGTTATATCGCATGACTTAAAGATATAAGGAAGAAGTCAAATGGAAAGTCTGCAGCTCCTACGAGCTAAATAAAGAAAGAGGAAGTTAAAGCCACTTAGTCAAGCAAAGCTAAAAAAATGACGTAGTGAAATCTTGTGTTTAGGTTTGAGCAAACAGAAATACCTAAATCAGTAAGAACTATTAAGTTAACGAAAACGCAAGGGGAAACAGAGGTAACCTTTTCAAAGGCGATCCTTTTACACTTTTCTCCAGTAGTCCAAGAATCCAACGAGACTGTGTCTAGTTGAGCGCCAACAGGAACAGATTGCAGCGCCATCCAGTTCACTTTCGTAGTCCCACTAGAACCATCTCCGCACTCTAAAACACAAACTGTAAATTCTTTATTATCCACAGATTCCACCCAAATAGCCGCGCCATCTCCACCACTATAATTCTTTGTTGTGTGCCTTTTGGAAACGAAAACTTTCACATCCTGCCCGCCATTGAAAGGATTCTCAAAGGAAACCTTTTCACACGCAAACAGACCAGGAGTAGTAATGGTGAAATTGCATATTCCAGTTTTGATACTCAGCGCTAGAAACACAAAAAGTAAAAATAATAAAAATAAGTTGCAAAAACGAAATACAGGGATGAATATTCTCTTTTATACCTTCAACGTCTTGGTAGGAAAGTGCAGCTACGAAGAAGAAAGCCAACAACAACTGCACACGGACTTCTTGCTCGGTACACATCTTGCTTCGAATGAAGAAAAATCCACTCTGTTGAACATTATACCTCTTAGCAATACGTGGCAATATAGTCCAACTTGTTTTTACGCGTTTAGTAGATCTCATTCGCTTTGTTTGGGGGGTTAGGGGGTAAAGATGTTTGAGGTAGTCAATTGTAAGATTTATGCGGAAACTGAGAAGGGTAGGCACGTAGGTTCATTCACTGCACTGTCACCACTACCGTGGCGATGTATTGAAAAATGCTGGGGAAGAGGTTTCTCTGTTCTTCCGTTTCCTTTAGGTCCTAAAATTATGTTTTCCAAATATAATTTTAGGACTTAAAATTTTAACTTTGAAACGCTTCCAGTTGATCTGTCAGGATATTTTATACTATATATAATAAAGGCAAAAAACACAGCAACCCACTGAGGAATACGGGAATTTGTGTGAACCTAGAGCACTTATAATCTTGAATAAAAATAAACCGAACGAAGATTATATCATTTGTTTTATGTGGCCCAAAATTTCACGGACAGCTAGTTATTAGGTGAGGTCTCAGCCACGAAATTGATAGCCGACTTAATCATTTCCATGATGCAAGCTTTACTGAATTATTTTGAATCCGAAAAATTATTATATTTACCCCCGCCACAACAAAAGTTAATATCTTGATTTAAAGATAATCTAGGGCGAATCTCAACCACAGAAATCTTTATTTTTTTTTTCTTTTCCATACTTTGATGATTAAGTCTTACGAACACGCACATTCTATCGAACTCAAGCGGACAGGAAGGCTACATCTTGCCCCCGCAGGTGTAGCTTGTTACATACAGCGAAGAGTTTACATCACCCTGGCCAGTTAACAGAGCAAGCAGTGAAGCAAGAGATATTCATTGAAAACATTTGCGAGTTAGTTATGTGGCATTAACAAGTTGTTCAGATTTGCATTTCAATTTTCAGTTTATCGAGTCCGCACACTTTTTTATTTCCTTGTATGTATATTTAGGTTGCTTATAATTTCTGAATATTTGCTTAAAATTAAAATTTTCATGGATTTTATTAGAAGCAACGTTTTCGTCGAGAAATTAACCAAAGTATTAAAAGACAAACACTTTCCTCTTACTTTTGAATGCTTGATATTGATACGCTGAATTTCATTTACCCATTTCAGACCAAGACAATTATACTGAGATCCGAAAATTGTAATCAGGATACTTGATTAAAATTTAGTTCGCATAAGATCACACAACGATCGTTAGAATTCTGCTTAGCCAGCGTGTTATACTCTGAAAAAAAGAAAGAAATTTCAAGGACTCGGTACTGTATGGCTTCTAGTCGTATTAGAGCCTTGAGAGTAAAAACCTTTATTGTTTAGACTCATAGTGGTCCTCTTAATTGTCCAACCTCGACTAAATTTAATGTTTCGCTATAAAGTTTGCGATTCAAGGGAATTATCCTCTTTCGCCGTATTTCTCCTTTATAGCGACCTCAACATAGGTTGTTACCCCATGTCATATGAAGACGAACGACTTCCGCGAGACAAAGGTAAATAACTATTCTCGTTCCAACGCGTTGTCTATCTCAGAAACCATGAAAGGGTCCAATGATTCCGTTATTTTTTTTAAAAAAAGGGGGAATATTGGTAAAGATAACCATGGGATACAAAATGTGCGTTCAAAATCTTAGAGTTATTCTTTTCAGTGGTAAATCCAAGATATACCGGAGTTAATTTTCCCCTTTTTACAGATGTTTATTTTGCATAATGACAACATGGCAAAATATGTAAGAATCATTGCCTGAACATTTGCTAAATTTCTGTTAAAAGATAATGTGTAGTCTAATTTCCGTTCCTTTTTTCTATTGCAATATTATTGTGAATTAAACTTCCTCTTTTGGGCTAAAAAAAATTGATTATTGCAGATTATAGTGATAATTACCCGATTTATATATTTGCGTGACATACAGGACATTTGGCTAGACCGTGGATATATACTACTCGGTATGAAAAGTGAAAATATGGGAAAACCGCTGTAAAAAAACCTCCTTGATCTATGAGCGCTTTACATTAGGTATAAATGTCGCTCACTTCTATCGTCAATACAACTAATATAAGCAGTGAAAATCACAGTTATACGGCTGGTTGTCCCTCAAGATACCACTCACCTCATGATCACTTCCTGATATCTCTGTTTAGAACTTTGTAATAAAACGAAGAATAACCTTCGTCTTAAGTTTGTCGGACAGGCTGATAGCCTGAAAAATTAACCTAAACTTTCTTGGTCAGAACTAATTTTCGGACGTTAAGTGTAGTCATTTCATCACGCAGTCAAGAGTATACAAAACGTGACGGTGAACTCAACCTGTAATATGCTCATTTTATGCGTTGAAATCAAACATTTGTTTAGTCACGAAAAAATATTCAAATTTAGGGTATTTTCACCATGTCAATTCAACGCGCCATTTACTCATCGGCTTTTTTTCTCGAACTAGATGTCAGTCTAGATTCCACAACGTTTTGAGTCATTCTACTCCGGTAAAAGATTGAAAGTGTTTGGTGTTTCAAATATAAGTTAACAAAATGCAAAAAAAACCGGTGAAAAAGTTTTTTGTTTACAAATGCAAATTAAGCTTAAGTCTTGCGTTACTTTATTTAGTTGACTTGTTCATAAATAAGCTTAAAACTAAATTTAATAATCTTTTTTACAGAATGATTTTAAATACAAAAAGAATTATTACTCCTTCTGAAGGAATTTCCCCGCAAGAGCTAAACAAATACCTTCAAAAGTTTTATTTGTCGGCAAGAAAAAGCGACGACCGCGGTCGTTCGGTCATTGCGCGCCAAAATTGTAATCGTTGGCAACAGTAAATGAGTTGAAAATCATCCATTTTGTGCTCAATTATCTCACTGTTTTAGTATATACTAAAACAATTATTCACCTCAGTGTCGGTGGCTAGTGGTGAATATTTACCTCGCCGCTTCGTGGCCTCGGTAAAAGTTACCACTAGCCACCTCCACTTCGGTGAATAATTATTATATATTATTAATTGTGGATCCAGTAACAAAATGAAAATTTTACAAATCGATTAATCTGTGAAAACACTTGAAATTGCTAAACACAGATGCAAACGACTCCTCATGAAATGCAGAGGCTTCCATCCTAGATAGAGTTTATTTTTGTAGACTAAGAGTGTTCGCAATTAATGAATACATATGGGGAGGCTCTGTCCGAAAAGGTCCGGTACTTTTTACAGGTTTCAGGTACATATCAGTATGGGAATTATGCCATATGGGTAATTGAAAGGGCCACTCGTTATATGGCCGTTTTCCCCCTTGTATCGTTACATTAACTTTCTCAAATTATGGCGGCTTAATAAATATAACACGATCGCATGACACACGATCGTACACTGACAGTCGCACCACGAAAAAAACTCCTAGTGCTTCAACATGAATCAATCAATAATACAACACTCTTTCGTTTCACAAGGCGGTAATGGTATCAGTGAGGAACGTGGAATTACAGTCGAACTATCCGTAAGGCCACCACCCAAAATGCGAAGATTTAATGGATCGCTTACGAAAATCAAACCGCAATTGTCTCTATCGAGAAGAGGTGCCGAAACACCTACTTTTTGGAAGAGAACTTATTGCCTGGTTATGATGCGCGTTTTTCCATGTTGCTTCTAATAGTTCTTCTTATAGTCTGAGTAGCGTCAAGTTACGTACAGCGAACTTACAGATCATTCAGTGTGTCTAGTGTGTCTAGAGATTAAAAGCAATGGGAAATTACGTAACCCTCACCCCAAATAGTGGTAGTTTACAAGAGGTTTTAACGATAGGGCTTCCAGTGGAAACATTTGGTGTTTCGGTTCAGTCGCTTATGGGAGTTGGTAGACTGAAAGCAGTCTCTTTTTTCTCTTTGGAGTCACAGTATATCGAGAGAACGCGTGAGAAGGGATCCGGGGGGTACGCCCTAGAATGAGCCGTATGCGGAAGCTCCACCGAAGGGGTCACCTTTTTTCAGCTTCACTAGTACATAAATGGGTAGGGATTTCACCAGTAGAGGTGCTTGGAAGGGTAAGGAAATCTCCTGTTCGGTGTGTAAAGGACTAAAAGGGTTAACAGACGGTTTTTAAAGGCTTTGTAAAAGTCAAGAACCACTTTTTGCTTTAGTGATAGCGAAGCTCCATGCTCGCGTGAAGCGTAAGCGCACGGGAGCGCCCCATACCTAAAAAAGATTGGTAATCCATCCGAGAAATTTTGGTAATCACGTGACTGTACGCCCGTCCGTCTGCACCACAGGTATACCAATGTAAAATAACTCAATTAACAGGTATGACACCACAGGCAACTCGAGGTGTTTCGGCGGGAAATTGCATGGCCACCCGGACTTTTAGAGAGAAAAAACAACAACAAAGTCGAGTATTTTTCGAAGTTATTTTTGATGTCTACACTCACGTGGATAACAGAGAAAGAGCTAGCGCGAGTGATTAAAAAAAAGGCGACGAATTTCGTTGGAAGAAAAACATGAAAATTTCATTGCGGCGGTGAGAAAATGAGAAATGCTAGTGGCCAGCAGGGTAAAAATGAGCGGCAGTGAAAAAAATAAAAACCGAGCAGGAACACAAGCAAGAACATTTTTGGTGAACGACAATTCCTCCATAAAAAATCATGTGTAACTTGGAAGCTTCACGTTTTAGTAGTGCAAAACGGCATTGTAGTCGTGCAACACAAAGGACGTGCAAATTTGTTTATTTTGCTAATTAGGGGTGCGTTTCTTTTGTAAAATCCAGATCCGGATTCTTAATCCGAAAACGGATATTTCGTTTCTTTACTAGAATCCAAAAACGGATTTTTAATCCAAATAATCCACAACGGGTGTATTCTTTGGATCATATCCAAAACCGGATAATTTGGATACATGATCCGAAGTGTTTTTTTACCGCAGATCCGAAAAGAGTGAATACTGCCAGCGGTAACTCGAAACAATTTTAATACATACATCAGGGCCCAGTTGTTCGAACGCCGGTTAGCGTTAACCCGGGGTTAAATTTTCACCCGGGTTTCTTTTTCTTGTTATCAAAAGCACTCTCTCGGATTATTTTCTCATTCTTTTTATAGTATCCAATCATCAACTTGTAGCCAAAGAGAATTCAACTGAATTGGCTTTTTAAGCTCTCACATCTGAGTTCAAATTTTGCACCAACCCTGGGTTATCTTAACCTGGCTTCGAATAACCCGGCCCAGCTTTTTAACAGCACTGCTCAGTTACAGGCCATTTTGGAACCCGAGGCATGGATTAAACGATCGATTTTATCCGTTTTATCAGGGTGGTAAAATCGCAATTAAATACAAACAGGCCCTGCATTGTTCTAGTTCACAAGAAAAAAATTGCTGCTTAACTTCGCCCGCGAGTGTTGCAAGACTACTTTTCCAGTAAATATCTTATGGAAAGACTCGGTGCTTCATTTAGCAGTAAAGCAGTATCCTTGAGATAATCGTCCAGAATACAATCAACGAGTCAGCAGCCGTGTTATTCTTTCGCCGGGATACCGTCGATATTGTGGGTCCTTTCTTTGGAAATGAATGAATAATAATACTTTTTTGGATAGAACGTTTCTTCTCTTAACGAAAAATCCTAACGATCCGGATTTTTGATCGGATCTTGGATTTTAGTAAAGAAACGCACCCTAGACCTATTTATTTTGTTACCCGCGTTCTCATTGCCGTTGCCGTTTAGCATTACACGATTTTATTTTTTTGTTTGTAACCAGAGATTCGCTTTTAACCCTGGCTAAATCCATATATTTTATTCATTCATTTTATTCAAGAACACCTGGCGTTGGACTTTGGAATGGGAGTTCAAGACGCTACAGCAAACTTTGGGATCCGTTCAGAAGCTGGCCCAGAACAGACAGGAGTGTCGATCCTTTGTTGCTGCCTTGCCTAACGGCATTCATGGGCATGAGTAAATGAGTAATTGAGTGAGTTAAAAGACAGTGCATTCATAGCAGTTAAAAGGGATGCCGTGCTCTAAACTAGGTAATGAAAAGGGGCACCATTTGTCAATAGAACGTATACGGCAAGGGTACCTTTTCTGTCCAAAAATGGTCTATCAAAGGCCAAGGGGTGGAAACTCGGGACGGAGCCTCCCCGTATAAAACATAATTGGGTTGCCCCCGCCCCTCCGGTGATGGGAGCGGTGAAGTCCGGAGGAACGAGCCAAACCTAATTTGCGCGTGGCTCTGGGGAGTTCGTGCCACTGGTCACCCTAGATACATATATTTTCAATTTTTCAGAAAGGTAGACAGTTTGGCATGCCAGCTTAATATACTGGAACTTTAATCACGTCCCTTAATTCAAACGATAGTCCATTCTGGGGGGTCAGTAGGAACTACTTACGGGAGCAAGATTTACCATGAATTTTTTCATCAATCTGGATCATCACTTATGTGCTGTCGATCGGTGAAGGAGGGAGGGAGGGAGGGAGGGAGGGAATGGAGAATCCTCTGGGAAATAGCTAGGCGAGGAACACGGATATAATAACAAGCATGCTGGCTATGGAGCTAGTTTGACTGCTGCAGTAGTCTTAGCCTGCGAAAACATCCGTTTCTCCTCGCTCCTCGCCGCTTGGGACGTTTCGCGCGAAACGTCCCCAGCGGCAAAAAGCGAGGAGAAACGGATGTTTTCGCAAGCTCCAGTAGGCTATCTACGTTAAATTGCATATTTCCATGGTTTGGGGGGTAAGAATGAAAGCCAACACTATTCGATTCAATCACCCACTTTCTTAGTTTTTATTGTATCTAATACCTTGCCATTTAATACAGTACCTCTTACTAATTCTTATCTTAGTTCCTGGTGTTGAATAATGCCGACGCGTTAAGCTTCCTTAAAAAAACAAAACCCTTGAACTTTGAGGAAGACTTCCGTTATGGTGCTTCCTATCGCACAAAGATTTTCCAATAATCGCTAGGGGACACTCCCACATTAAAATCGTCGCATTCCCACCTGCCAGATGGTGTAAGAAGCCAGTGGTAAGCTACCTGTACAAAAGCAGGGAGTTGGTATAATCTGTTCGGATCTCCCTCGTGCCCCCATTTGCCAACTTTGTAAGAACCTCTTTGGTATCCCCAATCCTTGCAGACTCTTGCTAACCGCGAGTTATCATTGCTCATGATCACAAACGAGCCACAAGAGGCGGGCATCACATCTGTCTCACCACTGAGGTATTTCACAGCAGCTTCACCTGTACTGTTTGCAGCCGTGGTGATGTGAAATGTACGACCTCCTCTTTTTTTGCAGTGGAATCTTATCTGAGTGAAATGCAAGTGCTTCCTCAGCTCCTTCATGGCGCTTTTTGTGAGTAACATCTCTTTGCTGCTTACTCCGCGGTACGATGTCTTAACTGGCAACTGGGTTGTAGACGAACCATGCGAAACAACGTTGGAAACAAGAAGCCACCCCCCTGAAATTTAATAAATGTTTATCACTCATGTGGGCCAAAACAAGCAGTCATAAGTTCAACATAGGAGAAGTCAAACGAGGCGGAAACAGTGCATATTGTATCATAAAGCCTATTGTTACAATTAAGGAACAATAAGTGTGAATTTTTTGAACACTCATTTAGTTATTGAGAATTTCCTGAATTTACTTGATCTAATAACTGACGTACCAGCCGCAAGGAGGTGTCATCTTCAAGTCAAACCTTACCTCCGTCAGTTGTCATGTCACAATATGCCTTAAAAGGCCTTTTAGTCCTTCCAGGGTCAATCCAGTACTCCCCGTCTCCGATGGAGGCACTTAAGTCCTTAATTTCTTTGCAGGATCGAGCGGGATCGTAGGAAAACAGCCCGCGTATCGCTACAACAAAATACGCATCAACAATTTAGTGATCCACTTCAAGGAACGCCGCGCTTGAAGGCAGTATCCTAATGTAATGTTCCTGTAAGCTTTGAATGAAGAAAGCAAAACGTGTTTGATAATTATAAATATAATTATAAATGGCCAAGGATACCGCAAGGGTCAATAACCTTAACAATTCGAATACTGAAAACAAAAGAGAAGAGATTTGCAGAGCTCTGTTAATCAATGAAACTTGCAATCTCTTTCAAAGCAAATAATGGCGACAATATACATGCTATGGTTTCCAGGAGAGGACCTCGAGTGTTACTTCATACATTCAGACGAGAAGTGATTCTGTTAAACCGGCTAATGAAGAAATATTATATGACTATTTGCCTGTGAACAGAATCCCCCCGCTTAAGCTTAATTGTACTGCAGGCTAGTTCCAGTTCATAGCTAAGACTCCATTTAATGTGTTTGACTAATCAATTATATCTGAAATGCAGCGAATACGAAGATCTTGGTACTGAAATATTTACGTTTACACTTCTTGCCATCTCTCTTGTAACCAGGTTTACAGGTGCAGATGAAAGACCCCTTAGTGTTTTTACACAGCAGATTTCTGTCACAGTTATGGGTATTACTTGTGCACTCGTCTATATCTGAGAAAAGGGAGAAACATATAAATTGCGTTTCTTTTCTTTATTGTCATATTCTTTTCACTCTGCGTTACAAAGGAAAGCGATGACTGATACGAATATTGTAGTTTTCGAAAATTGCTGAAAAATGAAAAAGATGAATGCGTTAGGCCCCGTTAATTCGAATTGAAGCCGATCCACATTATTTAGACAGGCTGAATTGATTCAGATGCCGATCTTATTTCCAGCCAAATAAATGAAAAAGGAGAAAAATGCTCATTTCCGTCAAACTGCTTGTAACATACGTTATAATAATTTATGCGTTAGGTTCGGCACACGAAACGTTCGGAGTCTGAATTAAATTGTTCAGAAGCCGCTCCACTAATTATGTGCAGAACCTAACTGAATTAGGTTCGACTTTAGAGCGACGTTGGCGCGGCAACTGATTCAGACGGCGTACCGTGTGTCGATCCTAACCTTTATTTCATGTACGGAGAAAGAGAAAAGCCTGGGTTAGATACCATATTTTCACGCCATAATTAATTTCCACTTTGTAGGACACCATTCTTCTTGCTTCTGTAGATCTCTTTCTTTGCCAAATTCATTTGAATCATTACATTCGATCTTTTCTTGCTCCTCCATAACTTCTCGGAAACATGGCTCACAATATGCGACTGAACTGCCTGCTTTCCATCCGCTTGACACTTTGACCTTTCATCATTCTCGAAGACAGAACAAGGGATACAGAAGTATCCCTGGCACCGTAAACAAGTATATTTTGCACTCTTAAAGCAAGAGGAGCAAGATTGTTCTTTTTCACCCGCCTTTTTTCTCAATTTAGTGTTCTGGGCATGGCAACTACGTAAAAACGAGCGGTATTGTGGGAAAAATTATAAATTCAATGTATGCATGTATGCATTAGGTTCGGCACTTGAGAGGAGCGCCGTATGAATCACATGCCGCTCCAATGTCGAATAATGCGACAGACTCTGTCGACCTTGACGTTTCTACCGCACCTAATTAAAACGGCCATACCAAATTGATTCAAACGCCGCTCTTTTGCCGTACTTAATTTATCAGTCAGGTTCGGGACATGACTGGTGCGGTGCCTAAACTGGGCCCAATTGACTAAGACGCCGAACCTTTTCATGTACCTAATTTAACGCATTAGGTTCGGCTCACGAAAAGTTCGGCGTTTGAACCGGGCCTTTAAAAGCGCTAGAAAGATACCTTTACAGTTCTTCCCATCTCCCTTGTAACCGCGATTGCAGGTGCAGGTAAAGGACCCCTCATTGTTCTTACATAACGCATTTCTGTCACAGTTATGGGTCTTGCTTGTGCACTCATCTATATCTGAAAACAAAGACAAAATTATCACGCACCGATTACACGCTGTAATGCTCCAAAAACAACAAAGCAATATCTTCCTTAATATTCTATTTCCTTCCGAATTTCCTTTATTTAGACACCCTTGGGGCTTTTTATTGCCTCTGAAATAGTTTTTTTTTAATCATATCAAACTAAAATGTTATTACCGATGAAATTCTTACAATCAAAACAAATAATTGAAGTAATTGTTTTGATTGAAAGAATGAAAATCCTTGTAAAAATGTTGTTCCACACATTAGTGCAAGTATTCTTATACTGAAATAGAGCTGCTCAAAATCCATTAAATACCCACTAAGGGTTGATGGCTTATTTTTGCCACCTTGGACTGGGATCTTATAAGAAATCAACGACTACAATAGATGAATGAAAAACGTAATTACAGCACTGTAAATACGGTATGATGTCCTTAAAAAGATACTAAAGACACGGAAACTACTTTTTTTTTGTTAACAAACAACATCTTTATTTAGTGTATACAGTATATAAACTTGACACAGAGAAAAATTAAGTCAGAAGATGTTTAAAGCAAACTTCAGTACTCACCAACGCATTTGCGGCCATTTCCAGAGTATCCACCTTTGCAAGTACATTTGTATGAACCCACGGTATTCTGACAAGCAGCATTCACATCACATCTGTGATAGTCAGTTGTGCATTCGTCAATTTCTGGAAGAAATGACGCTTCATTCAATCACCTTGTTCTAGGGTCAGTTATAACGTATATGAATATTTACCGAGATTACTATATTCTCAACTTGAACTCATGAATACTCTTGAAGAGAAAAATAAAAATTTCGATAAATCTAAAAACAAATTCTAGAACAAAACATTCAAGAATTTCAGTGCTTAGGTCTTCGGAAATTTTATAGTTTAGGTTACACAGGACACACCACCACCATTGCACCCGTTCACCTTTTTCTTTCCTTATTATTTCAAAACCGGGCAAGTATAATTTCGTTTCATTGATAGAGAGTATATCAATTTCAGAGTTAGACATAACTACGCGAAGCTGGTCAATATGCGCTAACAGGCTATTTATGTTAAGAGACGCCATCACCAAGCCTCGGCCGAAGGAGTTGTTATCAATATTATAAGACTTACCCCGTGTCGTAACATGACACTTATTATCCTTCAGCACCTGTCTTTCAGGCTCCCAAACGGCAGTATCCTAATCCTCATGCTTAATAAATTTTTAAAAATTACGAGCAAGTTGAGAGGTTCCTAATTTTATTTAAATGAAGGCCATTATGATTGAGATGCCGTTCTACAGTAATGTTGGAGTGGTCAATCAACTTCCGTTGGTTTTTCTCACCAAAACCTGGCATTAATTAATATATTCAGTTACAGTTATTTTGTGAAAAACAAAAAAAGAAAAGATTGTGCATCTTCAGGGAGCTCCAAGCTTAAACTGCAGTGGCGTTGTTTTATCTTCGAAGTTTGCTGGATTTCATAATCTGTGTGTTCTTTTAACTACGTCCTACATTTCTTCAAGAAACATTTGACAGGCTATATCAAACACTCGACCTGGTGTTTTCATCCCACAACTGGACACCTCAAAGACTATCTAAAAAACCGGCCTACCATGCCTCCTTTTAAAAATCTACTTCTCCAGTGAATGGGTATCAGAGTCTCGAGTTGGAAACATGAAATGAAAAGAGGCAGTACAGTAATGCGCGCTTAATGTTTTTTTTTTATTATTATTATTGTTTTGGTGACATTACCACCTTTCCTACTAAAAAGTATCAGTGATGCAGCGAATGACAACCCGCTACATCAGTTTAATTCAGGTGACAACTTGAAGGAGACAGCAGAACCGTTTAATGTAAGTTACATTTTGTAAATGGACCTGATGACCTCTTTTACCTTGAACACAAGTATAGTTATAACAGTTATCGCAGGACACATCGTTCCAAGTGTAGCCATCATTGGCACCCAGAGTGTGAACACAGTCTTCGTTTTTCCAGTTGTTTGGTTGTTGCGGAGCCCAGAACCGAAAACTGGTTATTTCCTTGTTTGTCCAGACAAATGATCCCTCAACGCTTCGGTCATTAAGTCCAATCCATGATCGCTCTCCATTATGACGGTGCTGAATGTAGACATTTTCTTCTTGGTTGTGCACTGTTACCAGATGTGAGTTCATAGTTGAACAGTTGGACACAGCAGTCACCCAAGGTGCGCATACAGAGCTTGTTAAATAGCAGTATCCATTGAAGTAATCCCATCCAGATGGACAGATGTCTGTGCGTATACAAAGTAGGAATTAATGAACTGCAAAATGACATTGCTCAAAATGTATAGCTTGAGGTGCAGTTATGTACTTCGAACATATTTATTATTTCCGGTTTTTGCGATTAAAAAAGGAAATGGAAAAGTAGAAGCTTTGTGTTCAGGACAAAATAAAGGCAATACATAAGAGAAAAACAACTGCAAGTATTATAAAGCACTCTATTATACACATTAATATGTATTTGGAAAAGGGGATGAACGTTGTTTTTCATCATCACCCGAATGCATTTTTTTTATTTCCTCCAGTTTTTGTGCATTCCTTTTGTGTATTGCTTGTTTTCCTTTTTCGTTATTCACAGAGTTGGTAAGTACTGAAGTTTATGATTAGTTTTGTAGCAGTAGTACCTGACAAAACTGTGTACGTTACTGACAATGGGTCATATTTTGCTTCATATAATTCTTTGACACAAGCACGAAAGCATGTCTTGTTGATGTACTGCAAGAAAGGGATGTTTATCAGCTCATTAAGTAGTTCACACAGACGGCTGACGGCGTATTTTCTCCCTTGCTAGTAGAAAAAAAACTATAGAACAGTTCAGGTAGGTCTTGACCAGAAGACTTTCCATATTTCTCAGTCTGACGCATGTTAAGAAGTGATCAACCCTGTTCAACAAGTTTGCATGACAGGGCTTCAAAGGGAAGAGCAAAGAGAACAATTGAGTGCGCGTTATTACATGTCAACAACTTAAACCTCTCATGCCATAATTGGTCAACTGCTGTCAAATGTTTGGAGGCGAAATATGTCGCGTTCACGGGAAAGTAGACCGCGCGGGTCACGGAAACAGCATATAAAAATAACCTTCATCGCACGCGTGCGAACTTTCAATAGATTTCAAATAATCATCATGGGGCACAGGGATTCGCTCTCTTAGCTCATTCTCTCTTGCGTAACATCAATTTTAGTTTTCTCATTGCTGTTTGTTTGACAACATTTGCTTACCTTCTGCTATACAGCTACACAGCTTTTTTAAAACACAGTTTTAACGACTTTCCATAATTCATGGCCATTTTACTAGCCAAGGGTTATTCCTGATCGTTAGTTAAACGGATAAAATTTAACTTTTGAGCTGTTTTTTGGCGCGTTTTGTGTTCTATAAGCTGTTATTCTCAATAGAACGCTATCTGTATTGTCAAATAGAGAGTATTAATTACAGTCATTCGTATTTTCATAAGGTTTTTAAACATGCACACAACACATGTAAGTGTGGTTGCAAGTGGTAAGTTACACAAATTCATAAAATAAATGAAAAGAAAATAATTAAATAAATAGCTAAAAACATACCTCTACCCACTCAGCTATGCTGTTATGAATTGGACTCTGACTTCCATTTTTGGTGGAATGATTGGCAGAAACAAACACATGTGGAGTTGAGTTATAAACTTTAGTAAAAGTAGCGTCCTGTCAAAAGAAATTACATAATTGTAAAAATTCAGTCTCTATATAAAGGTAAAGACTTGTTCCGCATTAGAGCATTTATAATCTATATTTCATTTTCATTTTAAATATTCACTGAAGTATGACAGACAGCCTGCTAAACTGACTAAATGTAACTACCATCACTAGAAACATGATAGGGCAACCGTTTTTTTTTTGCTCTGATAGTAAATTTAATCAATAAAATTAAGTGCACTGTGACGGGAATTGAAACCTTTAAGACTAATGAAAGGACTGGAATACTGACCTTGCAGAAGGCATTATAGTGACTCTGCGCGGGAGGTTTATCATTGGAAAAGTAAATCGAATTGCGTTCTGAGAAGGAGGCTCGTCAAGATATGAAAACGCTAACCAATTCTGAAATAAAGTAAATAAATAAATAAGAATAGAAAGAAAGAATTCTTTTTCAGTCTCACGTCCTAACTACAGCTGTAACTACCAAAAGATTGTGTCAACGTCGAAAATAAAATATAAATGGTAATCTCTCAACAAGGTTTATATAAAACAGCCACCGACATCTTAGGTTACAAGAAAGCAATAACATGGTCAGGTTCACAAAGCCGGATGAAGAGAAAACAGATGGAGGAAAATATATTTTCAAGCAAAAAATCGTGCATCTCTGCTGGACCAACTGCTGGAAGCGTAAAAAAGCGAAAAGATGAGATGGAGAAAGATACCAGTCTGCTGCACTTAGTTTCCAACGAAAACGCTCTTCGTTCGACTCCATGAGATTAGCGTTACTTACAACAACAACGTTTTGGTGTGATCCAGCGTAGTTTTGCAATTCTCTCAAGCAAACTTTGCAGGATGATTGTGTGACGTCTTCAATCCATATGCTTGCTGCGTCACGTTTTAATCCTGGATTGTAATGCTTGGCAGTCACAAATACCGACGGTATCACAGAGAATTTTCCCTGAAGAATAAATGCGAGTTAGGCAACTCTCAACTGTTAGAAAGCTACGAAAAGGAATTAATTTCGTATTTTTGCAAAAAGGAACCTATGACATTTGTGATATGCTGGAAATTGGTAAAAGAATAATTTGTACTACAGTGACATTGTTCGACTATTAATTGGTAATAAGTGTACGGCTGCTCCAGAACGACAAATCACTGCTGATGCATATTGAAAACGATCTGTTATTAACTGAGTGAACTCAGTAGAAGTGAGGCGTTTCAAAAGATATGATCTTGAAAAGAATGGAAAGGACAAGAAAGCCCAACAAAGGCCACTCACTGTAGGAAACCTGACAGTCGCACAAGTCGTACCAGTCCACCACTGTGACATGCGCACTTTACCAGTCACGCCACCCACTGGAGCACCTTGGTACGCCATCCAATCAACTGTCACGTTAGCATACGACTTTCGTTCGTTATATCCTGCCGCCATCACACAAGCAGTGAATCCGTCATTATTCACATTTTCAACCCACGATACGCCGCCGCGTCATGGACATACGATTTGTCACTGGTATCCATATGATTGACAGTTATCTGCACTTGAATGGGTTTGTCAGGGTAAAACACAAACGGTTTGAAATGAATGGCATGACAGTGAGAGTAGCCCAAGGATGGAATATGTGGCATGTGGCGACGACCACGCTGAAAAGGAAATCCTAGAAAACACATTTCAAGATGAACTATAGATTAGTATGACAAGCATGCGGAGCAAAGGGCATTTACCCAGAACTTAAAGCAAATGAGTGGTTCTAATAAAGAGGGTTGTTACTCTCTACTATAGAAGTCCAGGGAAACTTCACACCGGACAATGTATCGCTTGTCACTGCATTAGGTCAATAGCATGGCAAGCAGTGGAGAGATTAGAACTTGCATCCTGAGCAGAGCTACACGGTGGCAAATGGTCAAGCCTATTAGCGCTAAAGGAAAGGAAAGTGAACATTCACTGTAACTACTACTTCTCGCAAAGAAAAGATTCAGTTCCAGTTATGCTTAAAAAATATAACTCTAGGAAAGGACGTTATCCAGATATGTTAGGCAGAGATACGTCCGGGTACGAAATGCAAACAATTACTGCTACTACTACTACTACTATTATTACTACTACTACTACTATTACTACTACTACCACTACTACTACTATACTACTAATCTCAGAGAGAAGAATCAGTTTTAAATTTCTTTCAGTGATACATATTTTAAAAAAAAAAATTTTCCTTGAGTATTAACTGAAAATGCTTAAATATAAGTGTATCCGCCACTTTTTCTGACCAGTATTCTTATTAGCATTGCCCCTGTCAAACGTTTTAGCAAAATTACGTAAAATTCTGTACTTCCATAAAGTCATGCATCTATCGCCGTTTTTCCCTCCAGATTACATGGGTAAGTAAATTACTCATTCGAAAAATTCACTAAGGGATTAATACTGAAATCTAATAAAAAGAAAAATCACAGATTCAAAAACAACTGTACTAACCTTCACAGCTACCAGGATGTTGCACGGTTAAGTTTAGTCGATGTAGACAAACTTCTCTTTCAAACAAACATCTGTTGTCGTACGTTGTGCCATTTGATGAGCAAACGGGTTCTTTGTAAGATGGGCAGCTATCCACACATACACAGCGTGCATCATGGGGTCCAAACGCCTTACAGAAGCTGTGATAATAACACGTAACGTCTATGCAGGGATCCAAGTCTGAAGATAATTAAGCAAATAACAACAGATGGATTTAAAGCGCCCATAACTTAAAAAGTTATTTTTTTAGAGTTGAAAATGCACATTACTATGAGAACGTGCGAGAAAAAAAAATCACTTTGAACACGATGTTATTAAAGAGAATTTTTTGACACGTTCAAATTTACCGCCACTTTGGCACACCATTCGTGCAAGTCTTCACTCGGATGCCTCCCGGAAACAAAGGGGCTCTAACGTATATTAAGAAACTGTAACGTAAATTAAGGAACACGTGACTTTAGATACAAGAAAAAAAGTATAGATTCTACAAAACTTTCGTCAAATTTACAAGCTGAAACTGCTTTAAGATACCAATAAGATGCATTGCAGGTAGATGCAACAACACTGGCGACTCTAAGAAAAGGATAAGAATGCATATGATCCCGTTTTTCAGCTCAGTCAACCAAATCTACAATCCCCAAAAATAGAGACCACAAAAAAATAGCATCAATTAGAGAAAAAAAGCTCTGCATGAAACAACTTCAAAAGATTCATGTCATAAAATGTACTTGATACACTGCAGCATACAGCCTTCACCAAGGTTTTGATATAATTATTGTTTACGTACCTCCAATCACCAGGTAATCCAGTTGTACGATGTCCTTATAATTGGCGTTATTGCTGTATCTTCTCATACACACCTCGGTTTCGTTTCTAAAGGTATGCTAGACACAATCATAAGAAGTATCAGATTATCAATCATTAAGCATCATCAGGTATTTTCTTACCTTAACTACTATGTCACTAGGTACACCAAGGTCGTTCAGAAAGCGAAACCGTGGCGTGCACAGGTTGGTTGGAAAAATTGGGAAAAAATGAAACAAAAAAAAACTTTTTTGGACTCCTTAAACGACATGAAAAATTGAAACAGAGACAATTCTAAAAGTAAGTTCGACAGGAAAAGATAAGAAGGCAGCCTAAGGACGCAATGGACTAAGAAAAATGGCTCCAAGTTTCATATTTGTTACCTGAATCCACGCAGTAACTGCGTTACAAGTTGCGGAAACCGAGAAACGAGAGTTGTTATGGTAACTGAGTCTTGGTGAAACCATTACTACCGGAGGGGCATAAAAAGCATCAGTGAACTTTATTATCTAAAAAAACAAGAAAAAAATCATCGTCATTAAGTGTTTCTACACACATGCGGTATATGATATATGTTGATTAAATAGTTGACGATAACAACATTACAGCTCGATGAACGTATGAAAGATTTTCTATTTATGAATATAAGTGACTGAGAAACCAAAACAGTATTGTTGATTAGTTACTTTACCTGACAGACAGCGTTGTTTTGTTGCTTGTTTAGTGGTGAGTTATTCTTTGTTGTTACAAGGCCATGGATCAAGGTAAAATTCAGCGTCATCAGCTTAACAAATGCTATCCAGTCCTGAAGGACAAGTGAAAAAGTATTAACAATGTTATCAATATATTCTTTCTCAAGTCAAGGTTGTTTCTAAGAGAGGTTAGCCCATTGCTGTGAACCTGTGTAAATCACAGGGTACCCAACATAGGATCTCTATGAAAAAAGCTACGATTTCTAATTCCTAGTAGGCAAAGAGCAAAGGTAGAGCTCAGGGGCAACTGGGTTCTGCTAAAGCACAGCCCCTGTAAGTTGCAGCAAGGGAGGAACCGCTTGGTTGTCGTGTAAGTCTACTTTCAAACATGTAACAGGTAACAAAAGGAATTCACTTACCACCTTGATGTTTTTATGCAGACCATCAAAAATCTTAGTTTCCCTGAGGCAAACCTTAAAACCGTCTCTGCGTACATCCTCTACCCACAATGCCAAGGCGTCCTGAGGTCTCTTGAGAATTTGGTGACGAGCTGTTACGTAGATGCTCGGAGGAATTGAGAAACGCTGAAAAAGTAAAAGAGAAGAAAATAAATAATCAATTACATTTCTTTTTCAAACAAACAAGGGTATGATATAAAACGATGGAAGTGTGATAGAAAAATCATTTTCAACTTGAAAGAAGCAAATTGGATGGAATTTCCTAGTGCAGATGAAAAACTAAGAACAGTTTTACGAATTAAACACAGAATTTGTAAATCAGCAAATAAAACGATAATCATGAACTTGGCAACGTAGACACAAAAGCAATCGAAATATAGACTTTCTCTCTAAATTTTTTAGAGCAAAAGTTAGCAAAAGTATGAAGATTGTTAAACCTTTTTAAAGATGTATTAATTTAAATAAAAAAATTGACATGATCAAGAAAAGTGGAGGACAGATTGCAAGATAACTTTGATGGAAGAAAATAGAGGTAGCAATATATGTAAGATCTTGGTAAACAAATAAAGAATCGTATTTTATAATGCAACAATGTTATATCGCATGACTTAAAGATATAAGGAAGAAGTCAAATGGAAAGTCTGCAGCTCTTACGAGCTAAATAAAGAAAGAGGAAGTTAAAGCCACTTAGTCAAGCAAAGCTAAAAAAATGACGTAGTGAAATCTTGTGTTTAGGTTTGAGCAAACAGAAATACCTAAATCAGTAAGAACTATTAAGTTAACGAAAACGCAAGGGAAAACAGAGGTAACCTTTTCAAAGGCGATCCTTTTACACTTTTCTCCAGTAGTCCAAGAATCCAACGAGACTGTGTCTAGTTGAGCGCCAACAGGAACAGATTGCAGCGCCATCCAGTTCACTTTCGTAGTCCCACTAGAACCATCTCCGTACTCTAAAACACAAACTGTAAATTCTTTATTATCCACAGATTCCACCCAAATAGCCGCGCCATCTCCACCACTATAATTCTTTGTTGTGTGCCTTTTGGAAACGAAAACTTTCACATCCTGCCCGCCATTGAAAGGATTCTCAAAGGAAACCTTTTCACACGCAAACAGACCAGGAGTAGTAATGGTGAAATTGCATATTCCAGTTTTGATACTCAGCGTTAGAAACACAAAAAGTAAAAATAATAAAAATAAGTTGCAAAAACGAAATACAGGGATGAATATTCTCTTTTATACCTTCAACGTCTTGGTAGGAAAGTGCAGCTACGAAGAAGAAAGCCAACAACAACTGCACACGGACTTCTTGCTCGGTACACATCTTGCTTCGAATGAAGAAAAATCCACTCTGTTGAACATTATACCTCTTAGCAATACGTGGCAATATAGTCCAACTTGTTTTTACGCGTTTAGTAGATCTCATTCGCTTTGTTTGGGGGGTTAGGGGGTAAAGATGTTTGAGGTAGTCAATTGTAAGATTTATGCGGAAACTGAGAAGGGTAGGCACGTAGGTTCATTCACTGCACTGTCACCACTACCGTGGCGATGTATTGAAAAATGCTGGGGAAGAGGTTCCTCTGTTCTTCTGTTTCCTTTAGGTCCTAAAATTATGTTTTCCAAATATAATTTTAGGACTTAAAATTTTAACTTTGAAACGCTTCCAGTTGATCTGTCAGGATATTTTTTACTATATATAATAAAGGCAAAAAACACAGCAACCCACTGAGGAATACGGGAATTTGTGTGAACCTAGAGCACTTATAATCTTGAATAAAAATAAACCGAACGAAGATTATATCATTTGTTTTATGTGGCCCAAAATTTCACGGACAGCTAGTTATTAGGTGAGGTCTCAGCCACGAAATTGATAGCCGACTTAATCATTTCCATGATGCAAGCTTTACTGAATTATTTTGAATCCGAAAAATTATTATATTTACCCCCGCCACAACAAAAGTTAATATCTTGATTTAAAGATAATCTAGGGCGAATCTCAACCACAGAAAACTTTATTTTTTTTTTCTTTTCCATACTTTGATGATTAAGTCTTACGAACACGCACATTCCATCGAACTCAAGCGGACAGGAAGGCTACATCTTGCCCCCGCAGGTGTAGCTTGTTACATACAGCGAAGAGTTTACATCACCCTGGCCAGTTAACTGAGCAAGCAGTGAAGCAAGAGATATTCATTGAAAACATTTGCGAGTTAGTTATGTGGCATTAACAAGTTGTTCAGATTTGCATTTCAATATTCAGTTTATCGAGTCCGCACACTTTTTTATTCCCTTGTATGTATATTTAGGTTGCTTATAATTTCTGAATATTTGCTTAAAATTAAAATTTTCATGGCTTTTATTAGAAGCAACGTTTTCGTCGAGAAATTAACCAAAGTATTAAAAGACAAACACTTTCCTCTTACTTTTGAATGCTTGATATTGATACGCTGAATTTCATTTACCCATTTCAGACCAAGACAATTATACTGAGATCCGAAAATTGTAATCAGGATACTTGATTAAAATTTAGTTCGCATAAGATCACACAACGATCGTTAGAATTCTGCTTAGCCAGCGTGTTATACTCTGAAAAAAAGAAAGAAATTTCAAGGACTCGGTACTGTATGGCTTCTAGTCGTATTAGAGCCTTGAGAGTAAAAACCTTTATTGTTTAGACTCATAGTGGTCCTCTTAATTGTCCAACCTCGACTAAATTTAATGTTTCGCTATAAAGTTTGCGATTCAAGGGAATTATCCTCTTTCGCCGTATTTCTCCTTTATAGCGACCTCAACATAGGTTGTTACCCCATGTCATATGAAGACGAACGACTTCCGCGAGACAAAGGTAAATAACGATTCTCGTTCCAACGCGTTGTCTATCTCAGAAACCATGAAAGGGTCCAATGATTCCGTTATTTTTTTTAAAAAAAGGGGGAATATTGGTAAAGATAACCATGGGATACAAAATGTGCGTTCAAAATCTTAGAGTTATTCTTTTCAGTGGTAAATCCAAGATATACCGGAGTTAATTTTCCCCTTTTTACAGATGTTTATTTTGCATAATGACAACATGGCAAAATATGTAAGAATCACTGCCTGAATATTTGCTAAATTTCTGTTAAAAGATAATGTGTAATCTAATTTCCGTTCCTTTTTTCTATTGCAATATTATTGTGAATTAAAGTTCCTCTTTTGGGCTAAAAAAAATTGATTATTGCAGATTATAGTGATAATTACCCGATTTATATATTTGCGTGACATACAGGACATTTGGCTAGACCGTGGATATATACTACTCGGTATGAAAAGTGAAAATATGGGAAAACCGCTGTAAAAAAACCTCCTTGATCTATGAGCGCTTTATATTAGGTATAAATGTCGCTCATTTCTATCGTCAATACAACTAATATAAGCAGTGAAAATCACAGTTATACGGCTGGTTGTCCATCAAGATACCACTCACCTCATGGTCACTTCCTGATATCTCTGTTTAGAACTTTGTAATAAAACGAAGAATAACCTTCGTCTTAAGTTTGTCGGACAGGCTAATAGCCTGAAAAATTAACCTAAACTTTCTTGGTCAGAACTAATTTTCGGACGTTAAGTGTAGTCATTTCATCACGCAGTCAAGAGTATACAAAACGTCACGGTGAACTCAACCTGTAATATGCTCATTTTATGCGTTGAAATCAAACATTTGTTTAGTCACGAAAAAAAACTCAAATTTAGGGTATTTTCACCATGTGAATTCAACGCGCCATTTACTCATCGGCTTTTTTTCTCGAACTAGATGTCAGTCTAGATTCCACAACGTTTTGAGTCATTCTACTCCGGTAAAAGATTGAAAGTGTTTGGTGTTTCAAATATAAGTTAACAAAATGCAAAAAAAACCGGTGAAAAAGTTTTTTGTTTACAAATGCAAATTAAGCTTAAGTCTTGCGTTACTTTATTTAGTTGACTTCTTCATAAATAAGCTTAAAACTAAATTTAATAATCTTTTTTACAGAATGATTTTAAATACAAAAAGAATTCACAACTCCTTTTGAAGGAATTTCCCCGCAAGAGCTAAACAAATACCTTCAAAAGTTTTATTTGTCGGCAAGAAAAAGCGACGACCGCGGCCGTTCGGTCATTGCGCGCCAAAATTGTAATCGTTGGCAACAGTAAATGAGTTGAAAATCATCCATTTTGTGCTCAATTATCTCACTGTTTTAGTATATACTAAAACAATTATTCACCTCAGTGTCGGTGGCTAGTGGTGAATATTTACCTCGCCGCTTCGTGGCCTCGGTAAAAGTTACCACTAGCCACCTCCACTTCGGTGAATAATTATTATATATTATTAATTGTGGATCCAGTAACAAAATGAAAATTTTACAAATCGATTAATCTGTGAAAACACTTGAAATTGCTAAACACAGATGCAAACGACTCCTCATGAAATGCAGAGGCTTCCATCCTAGATAGAGTTTATTTTTGTAGACTAAGAGTGTTCGCAATTAATGAATACATATGGGGAGGCTCTGTCCGAAAAGGCCCGGTACTTTTTACAGGTTTCAGGCACATATCAGTATGGGAATTATGCCATATGGGTAATTGAAAGGGCCACTCGTTATATGGCCGTTTTCCCCCTTGTATCGTTACAGTAACTTTCTCAAATTATGGCGGCTTAATAAATATAACACGATCGCATGACACACGATCGTACACTGACAGTCGCACCACGAAAAAAACTCCTAGTGCTTCAACATGAATCAATCAATAATACAACACTCTTTCGTTTCACAAGGCGGTAATGGTATCAGTGAGGAACGTGGAATTACAGTCGAACTATCCGTAAGGCCACCACCCAAAATGCGAAGATTTAATGGATCGCTTACGAAAATCAAACCGCAATTGTCTCTTTCGAGAAGAGGTGCCGAAACACCTACTTTTTGGAAGAGAACTTATTGCCTGGTTATGATGCGCGTTTTTCCATGTTGCTTCTAATAGTTCTTCTTATAGTCTGAGTAGCGTATTACGTACAGCGAACTTACAGATCATTCAGTGTGTCTAGTGTGACTAGAGATTAAAAGCAATGGGAAATTACGTAACCGTCACCCCAAATAGTGGTAGTTTACAAGAGGTTTTAACGATAGGTCTTCCAGTGGAAAAATTTGGTGTTTCGGTTCAGTCGCTTATGGGAGTTGGTAGACTGAAAGCAGTCTCTTTTTTCTCTTTTGAGTCACAGTATATCGAGAGAATGCGCGAGAAGGGATCCGGGGGGTACGCCCTAGAATGAGCCGTATGCGGAAGCTCCACCGAAGGGGTCACCTTTTTTCAGCTTCACTAGTACGTAAATGGGTAGGGATTTCACCAATAGAGGTACATGGAAGGGTAAGGAAATCTCCTGTTCGGTGTGTAAAGGACTACCGTATTTATTCGATTAACCGCCCTGGGCGCTTATTAAATTTTTGGACCTTGAGAGTGGGCGCTTATTCGAGGTGGGCGCTTATTCGAGGCTGGGTGCTTATTAAATTTTCACCATTTTCAGCAAGTGAAGTATGTTTATTTTGTATCAAAACAATAAATGCTAATAACAAAACGCGAAGAAGTAACAAATCAAGGTTTCTGTAAGATACTCTGAGGAAGATTCCGTCCTCGGGGAAGTCTCTTATTAGAATTTATTCACTCAAGTGGGTGGGGTGGGGTGAGCGCTTATTTGAGTTTGATTGGGAGGAGTAGGGGGTGGGCGCTTATTCGAGGGTGGGCGCTTATTGACTTTTTCTGCCTTTGGGATGGGCGCTTATTCAAGGTGGGCGCTAATTCGAAGTTGGGCGCTTATTCGAATAAATACGGTAAAAGGGTTAACAGACGGTTTTTAAAGCCTTTGTAAAAGTCAAGAACCACTTTCTGCTTTAGTGATAGCGAAGCTCCACGCTCGCGTGAAGCGTAAGCGCACGTGAGCGCCCTATACCTAAAAAAGATTGGCTTCGAATAACCCGGCCCAGCTTTTTGACAACACTGCTCAGTTACAGGCCATTTTGGAACCCAAGGCATGGATTAAACGATCGATTTTATCCGTTTTATCGGGATGGTAAAATCGCAATACAAACAGGCCCTGCATTGTTCTAGTTCACAACAAAAAAATTGCTGCTCAACTTCGCCCGCGAGTGTTGCAAGACTACTTTTCCAGTAAAAATCTTATGGCAAGACTCGGTGCTTCATTTAGCCCTTCTAAAGCAGTATCCTTGAGATAATAGTCCAGAATACAATCAACGAGTCAGCAGCCGTGTTATTCTTTCGCGGGATACCGTTGATATTGTGGGTCCTTTCTTTGGAAAT